TTGAGGTTCTTTAACATGAAGTCAATCTACATGGGACAGGCGGCTTTACTTCCTCTGCGAAGGAAGGCGTACGAAGGCTTTTTTTACCCTTATAAATCCACAGCTCCCACCAGGTTTGAATCGGGTCAATAGCCCGAAACGCTAAACATTATACTGCCGAAGCCACCAACCTCATACGAGATTATTCCCATTTGTATATGTGCTAAGGAGGTTCTTAATTTAATGACCTAAATATGAGGGACGTTGGATTGGAGACTGACAAACAGACATTCCTAGGAAAATGATAGAATTAATGTAAGAATTTTCTCAAAGGTCTAAAGTGTGAATAACGTTGTATGAAATGTTTCAATTTACCAAATATATTTACTTTTTGTTTCAATTAAGTCATATGAGCCAATAGAATTAAGGTGTTGTGGTGGGTTATCGTTGGCATTTCTAATCAACGCATATAATTTATTTCAATAGAATTAATGTTCAAGATCATGTTTATTTTCGACATTCTCACGGAAATATAGTTGAAATTCGCTCATTTTATCTCTCAACATACAACTTTACTTTCATTATACCCGTATACTTTACATATTTGCATTCGTGCTGTATACATCTTTACAGCATTTTTCATTAATCTTACTTCCCTCACAATATCCATCCCTACCCTTTCCTTGATTGAATTTCTTCCGTCTCTCTCGTCCTCCCCCTCCAGCCCTTAGGACCTCTCTCTCTCTCTCTCTCTCTCTCTCTCTCTCTCTCTCTCTCTCACACACACACACACACACCAAACCACAACACATACACACACTTACTCTCAAACTCTCACTCACTTCTTTCACTCGCCTCTCTTTTCAGTTTCTGCCGCCCTCTAGGCCTGTCTTGCTCTGTCCTTTCTCCCCCTCTCTCTCTCCCTCTCACTCTCTCCCTCCTCTCTCCCGCTCCTCTCCCTCTCCTCTCCCTCTCTCTCCCTCTCTCTCCCTCTTCTCTCTCGCCTCTCTCTCTCCCTCTTCTCTCGCTCTCCCTCTCTCTCTCTCCCTCTCTCCTCTCTCTCTCATCTCTCTGATTCCCACTGCAGGAACTTCCCACACTTCACTTCTTCCCACATGAACACGGTCACATTCACTGGCACTCTACCTACCACTAGAGAACAGAACGGCATGCTTTGTGCTCTGCGGCAAACTATTAACTCTCTGCCGGCTAATCGACTGTTCAAAGACTCTTCAGTGGGTCATCGACTGATCCAGTTTTAACACTCAACAAGATCCATGAAAAAGAAGATTCCCCGGTGGGAGAGCGGGTCGACCCAGGCTGCAGCAAGCCAGCTTAAGATCCGGCTCAAGTGCATCACGTGACGAGAATCTCGCGCTTCGGAGGCCGTCGCCTCGGCGCCACGAGTTGCATCGCAGCGCTCTCGGCACGAGGCAGCGCGTGCGCTGGGAGGGCCTCACTCGCCCACTGCGTGTGCGCGGGAGCAGATGGGAACCGTCCTGCACACGAGCAGCGGCAGCCCGAGTGTGAATATCGGACTAGGGTCATCGGTGGTCGTTAAATATTTTGGAAGACTTTTGCGAGACCGAAGGGTCTGTGAGGGCGGATACATTGACCTAAATTATGGACTTTTAATACGTAAACACTGTTTAAAAAAAGGTCGGTCATTGAACTAAACAACAGGACAAAATCAGCTCAAGGATAAAATAACTGAGCAAGTTCAACTAGAACTAATAACTAACTGTTCCCAACAAAGAAACCGCAAGCTGCTACTAGCGAACAATGAGATCCGATATGATGTCGCTGTTTCTTTTGCTTCCTCTGCTGACGTCGGCCGCTGCAGATCTGCAGGAAAAAGGGCGCTCGGTAGGCGAAGAGACGTCTGCGGTTGCCGCCAACGTCATCGCCGCCGCGCTGCAGGTCGACGGCTCCGTGGACCACGCGTACTGGTACGCGCGCGTGCTGGGCGTGCAGCTGTCTGCGCGCGAGCTGGCGTGCGCGGCAACGGCACGGTGCGGCTGCGTGCGCGCAGGCGGCGGCCTGCGCGTGGCTGCTGGAAGCAGGGCCCCTGCGCGCCCTCCGAGTGGCTGGTGCTGCCAGGAGGCGCGACGGCCCGTCTAGCGCGCGCAGCCCTGCGCGCCGCTACGGCCTGCTGGCTGGCGAGGCCGCTGCGCGCCCACGCACCAGCTGTGCGCAGGCGACCGCCTCCTCGCCTTCCGCTACTCGCTGCGGCGGGGAGAGGCCGCTGCCACTGCAAGGCTTCCGCGCCCGCGGCCCAGACGGCGTGCCCACGTGCTCTACGAGCAGGGGGCCTGCCCTGATGACAGGTAGGCAGTTTGCAGCACTATTCACTAATTTCTTAGTGAAGGCCCATTTAGAACGAAACTTAATTATAAACAAATTAAGGCTGACGAGCCGTGACGGACTCGTGTCTGACGGGCCGCGATTTCGAATCCCGTCCGGGACATGGATGTATACCATTAGTTACCCTACATGTTACTTACAGCGGTGGCTATATGAACTTAGTAGTTGAATGCGACCTTAAATAAGTAAAAAATAAAGCTTAAATTAAGCTCTAAAACTTCGTGCTACGTAATTGAATGGTACCGTTCAAGTCAATAAACGTACACGTGAACATAAAAAGTAACCATGAAAGGGTTTTACAGGCTTCCACGTGCACACGAGTGTGATGTGAGAACAACACACTATCGCGTAGCGCAACAATAACCAAATACCTGCTGTTTTTTTCTTGTACGGAAACTGGCAATTTACTCACAAACTGCATTATTCATTATGAATTGTTGGTGAAACGTTCATGTCTTGCTCAACGTGTTGAATCAATTGTGGTGCTCATGTCTCACGATCGTTTGGTTGTATATGGAATTTCTGTGTCGAGTATTTATTGTATCGTTATCGATGAATGGATGTGTTCACGTTTAAAGCCACGATTATTGTGAATGGTACGTCCATGTTTATGTCGAAAGAGCGTGTTTATGTTCTCCCGTCGTTGTTTACGTTTTCGTTGTGAATAGGCCTAACGTTTATCAAAAGCGCTATCAGCAAAAATGTGATGAGCACTTCAGATATTTTAAGCTAATTGTGTTGTGTGTGTTTTTTTTTTGTTTGTTAATTTGACGTTTGAAGAAAATGGGCCATGTATGACGAAAATGCTGTACGAATTTATTTATGAACACCGTTCGGATACAACTGTAACAGACAATGCCCATGTCACTTGAAATTAAGCAAGGGCTTACATTGTGGATATTTACGACCGTGAAAGTTATGTTTGCATGTGCAGTTGAAGAGATGTGATGAATCAATGTTGAAGTGAAACCGTGTAATATATCAATAAGACTGTGCAGATAACGAACTTCTAATTTTGATGCTCATGACTGCATTTTAATAATAATAATTTTAATATATAATAATAATTAAATCTTTAAGTTTTGTGTTAAGTTTAAATGAGAACAAAGAATTACATGAGATATACGTAACTAAAATTCATTGCGTTTTATGGCCAGCGTGGCGAGATGTTGTCAGTTGAAACAATAAAATAATGGTGCTCCATACTTTCTCGCGTTTTTTGGAAACAGCTGAGTAATGTTGAAATCACTAATAACACCTCAGCTATTACTTGAAAGCGTCTAATTCAATCAAAGCGCTTGTGATTCATATCAGCATTCATTTAGTCAGGAGCAAGAAAATCGGCTGAACGGTTTATGCGCTAACGTTGTGCATAGTCAGATGGTCAGATGGTCGTCAATCGATTTTTCTGACATGAAGGACGCACAAAACATAGATTCTGATTGCATCACGTGTTAGATGATTTTTTTCTTTATTTAGCAACTGGATTTATCCACATTTTCTTATAAGGACCCGGCAATAAGAGTTTTTGTGTCAAAAAAACGCCGTTTTCAGGCGCACGATTACAATACTTTCTCTTTTTACATTAGTAAGTGCGAGAAAACAAAATTATAATTAATTCACACGCTGACTTTAGGTTTTCACCACGTTAATGTATTTTTTGTTATTTACGTCGGTAAAATTGCTTCTAAGCAACCAATCATCTAAACAACGCCTTAAGTGCGCGTCCATAGCAACGGCCATTAAAATGCTCGAGTTCATTAAAAATATTTCAGCTCAAAAATCGTTGGATATATTTGTCCCTTTTTCCTTCTTGTCTTTTATTGTCCCATTTCGTCCATTTTGTACCCATGTTCCATTAGTCTCACTTGTCCCATTTGTCCCCCTTTTTCCGTTTGCCCCTTTGCTCATTTTTTCCCCATATTCTATTTTTCCTGACGACCATCTTGTCCCATTTGTCCCTTTGTCCCATTTTCCCTCTTCCTCCATTTTGTCTCTTTTCTCCCCTTTTCCAATTTTGCCCCCATTGTCCCATTTATCCTCTCGCCTTCTTCGTCTTCCTTTCCCCGCTTTGTCCCACTTGTCCCTCTTTGACCTTCCGCGCATTGCTATTGGTATTTATATGTGGCACCAACACTTTGTACCAACAACTCTTGCTAAAGAACATCGAGGGTAATGACAACTCTTAATTCATGAAAGTATTAAATGTTTATTTTGAATAACTAGATATAACAAAAAAGCATTGTATGTAATACGTCCTCTATTAGTGTTTAAAGACTCATTTAGAGGGCTTGTTAGATAAATAACAATTATTATATATATTTTCGAGTTTATGAATAATATAGATTTTAATAATATTTTCAACCAGAGCATTTTTATTTCACATTGGAATCGTGTAGCAGTGTCACGTAGTACCTTCTATCATCGCATCTGTTCCAACGCTGTCCTCTACGATTAATGTACGTACGAGTGAGTATGCACCGTGTATGCCACCAGACAAGAGGTCATTGATGGCGAATGGCAAAGATCGCGATTGTCCGAAAGTCGAGTCGAGAGCCGTATCCTCGCAATATCTGACTAAACACGAAAGTAACCATGCCACAAGATATGAAAATCATTACGAATGTTACATTATATGTCATTCTTACTTATTCCAGGTCATGATGCCTTACGTCAATTCCTCCTGGGACACTTCGATGGGTGTTTGCATGCCCAACCCTTGTGCTGAAGATTTCATCCCTCTGAGGACGAAAGACACAAAGAAGACTAGGTGTGAACTGTGGCCATCATTGAAGTGTACACCGATCTTTTTCCCTTTGTTCGACCCTGCGATAGGTCTGTATGTGCCATTATGCGACTCTGGCGAAAGGGGAGTAATTCGTCCACCTTCACGGCCACAGAGTTGCATCCCGGACAATACAGGTCTTTGCACCACCGCCTTAAAGTTTCCTTAAAGGCTTTGGGGGGCCGCCGCAACCAGGATGCTACACAAAGGAGTAGTGTCAATTTCCGATTCAGAGAATAGGTATTCGTAGTACTTAATTGATTCTATTTCACACATTTTTCACCATCGTCTGTAAAGGAACACTTACGACATTATCATGAGGCTGACTACAGTAGATATATAATTACAAATATTTTAATTAATCTAATTTCAACCATTTTCACTCCTATTATCGCAGGGTAAACGTTTCTCTAATACAAAATAACACAATTAATCACAACTGCAAAATGCAAAACAACGATAAAATATTATTGAAAAGAATACGGTTTTACATAATTAAATGTGAGTTTATATTATTTTCTAATTAAATATTATTTTACAAAGTAATAGTTTCAAGACACTATTCAACACTTTTTAGAAACCAAACTTTAACAGTGGGGATGCAACTATGTAGTGTGTGATTCAGGCAACAACACAACTATGTAGTGTGTGACTGGCAACAAAGTCTTGATATTAGTGAGTCACAGGTCCCGTAACTGAGAGGAGAATTGTCGGAAGAGGGGATATCATTGACAATATTTAATTAGAAGAGCTTTATGTGAAAACTGTTGTTTCATGAAGCACAAAAATTTTCTTTCTTTGGAGCAATTAAAATTCGAAGTACATAAAGCACACGAAGCACATAAAGGTATAGAAGGGAATGAAAAGGCAGATAAAGCGACTAAAGAAGCAAATTCATTACCAACAACGGACAAGAGTGTGAAGAGAGTTCTCTCCGATATCAAACTATATATTAAAAATATGGTTAAGAAACAGTGGAATGAAAAATGGC